TCCAAGAATTTGTTGGATAGTCTGTGCCCCGCTGTGTTATTTTCCCAACATATATCCGGATAGTTGAAGTCCCCCATCACCACCAAATCTTGGGCTTTGGATGATTTTGTTAGTTGTTTAAAAAAAGCCTCATCCACCTCTTCCACCTGGTTAGGTGGCCTGTAGTAGACTCCTAGCATGACATCACCCTTGTTTTTTACCCCTTTTAGCCTAACCCAGAGACTCTCAACACTTCCGTCTCCTATGTCCATCTCTACCTCAGTCCAAGTGTGTACATTTTTAATATATAAGGCAACACCTCCTCCCTTTTCCCCCTGTCTATCCTTCCTGAGCAAGCTGTATCCATCCACACCAACATTCCAATCATGTGTATTATCCCACCAAGTTTCAGTGATGCCAACAATGTCATAGTTGTATTTATTTATTAGCACTTCCAGTTCTTCCTGCTTATTACCCATACTTCTCGCATTTGTATATAGGCATCTAAGATACTGGTTTGATCTTTCCTCCTGGTTTTGTCCTGACCCTCCTTTCTCTCTGCCAATATAGCCCACACTCCCTCTCGTCTCCGACCCATCTCCCAGGTCTCCATGTTCCCCACTTACCTGCGGGCTTTGCTCACCTGTCCCCGTCGAACCTAGTTTAAAGCCCTCCTCACTAGGTTAGCCAGTCTGTGTCCAAATAGGGTCTTTCCCCTCCTCGAAAGGTGAACACCATCTCTGCCTAGCAGTCCTTCCTCAAATAGCATCCCATGGTCTAGGAAGCCAAAGCCCTCCTGGTGACACCATCTTCGCAGCCAGGCATTCACCTCCATGATGCATCTGTCTCTGCCCGGGCCCCTACCTTTGACAGGAAGAATCGAAGAGAATACCACCTGCGCTCCAAACTCCTTCACCCGTACTCCCAGAGCCCTGTAGTCACTCTTGATCCGCTCAGTGTCACACCGCGCAGTATCATTTGTGCCCACATGGATGAGTAGCATGGGGTAGTAGTCAGAGGGCTGGATAATCCTCGACAATGCCTCCGTAACGTCTCGGATACGAGCTCCCGGCAGGCAGCATACCTCCCGAGATGAAATGTCAGGGCGACAGATGGGCGCCTCCGTCCCCCCTCTGCACAGCAGTTGCAGATCTGCAACTGCTGTGCAGGGGCTGTGGATGCTATCCCAATTCGGGGAAATGGAGTTCACCAAATCCTCTGCATCTCACCTGCATAGAGTCCAATGACTTGGGTTTTATGTAAGTGGAGTGCATGTTGTTCCAGATTACTGTTTTCTTTGTTAGTTTGTTAGTATATCTTTAAAACCTCTATTGCTCCATGGTATTGATTTTATTCCCTCAAAAGGTTAGTAAACTACATTTCTACAAGTTAAATCCCTTCATTTTTCATTACACCTTATATCACAAATCAAGCTGAGACTGATATGATCTATAAATATAATGTAAATATTAAGGGTGAAATCCTGATTCTGTTGAAGTCAGTGGGAGTTTTGCCATTGACTTGGATGGGGTCAGGATTTCACCCTAAATAATTTAACATTTTAACAATGCATTTAAATGTGTATTGAGCCAGGTCTTCAGCAGATGTAAATCGGCGTAGCTCTGTTGAAGTCATTTGAGTTGTTGTTTCTGTATTATATATGATTTAATGCAAGTGAGATTATTTGTTTAGATAATTGGGAGAAGATGAGGTACGCTGCGTATTTTAAAATTGATCAGTTTAATTATGTGAATGAGGTGTAGCTGTACTGTATTCACATAGTGTGGGTTTTCTTCAAGACAATTCTAAACTCTCTGTTAATCCAAGGGTGCTCTCTAATAATGCCTGAGATCACTGTAAAATAACAGCTCTGTCTTTGCTGCTGAGGGAAAATGAGACTTTGCATGGAAACCAAATGATAGTTTGTTTTGATGTTTAATGTCTGTATCCCAGCTAGGGAGTGTTAGCATCCTTTAAGTGGAGCAGAGATGCTATTGGACTGATGAAATAGCCTCTCTATGTTGTGGGAGTCTATTGGTAGTCATTGTACAGTGTCTAGGACCTGCCTATCATGCAATCTGTAATGTGTGTGTTTCAATATAGGCATGGGATATTTCCTTCTTTGCCCCTTCACAGGTGTTTTTTATTGTTTAGTTTTTTGGAGGGAATGGGAGGGGTTGGTTGTTTTTTTGTTTTTTTTTTTTACGAGAAGAGGAGGGGGTTTTCAAGCTACCTTTGCCTTTTGTGTGTGCATGTCTCTGTGTGTGTGAGAGAGAGCTTGAGGTTCACTTCTCTTTCATTTATTTTGTATTTCCAGCTTTGATATCCCTTAAAGTCTTGATGCCATCACTGTGCTGTTCTAAATCAGCCTGTACCTCTGCAGTGCTTTTCCCTTGATCAGTGGCAATCCTGTTGGAGTACTTCTGTTAGTATTTAACTTAGGACCAAGGGAAGCCGAGAGAACCTTTATAATTGTTTGGAAGACTGATTCTTTATTAAGGGTCAGAGTGTGCCTAACCCTAGGAGTTGTCAGGGGTCAGCCACCCTTCCCACCTGGTTGTATTAGGATTATCAGGATCTTGGGTTCTTGGGGCTGCTCCTCCCTGCAAGCAAGTGGAGTGGCAGATAAATGAGGAAGTAAGATGCACCGTTTTCTGGGCTGCAATGAATGATTTTTGTTGGTGATGCACACAAGGTAATATAATCCAGCTTCATTTTGCTGCTTCTGCAGTACTAACAAGAGTGAGAAGCAGGAAAAATATATTTGTATCACTGCAGTGAGGAGCTAGAACACTGACTACACACGGGGAGTGGCTCTGTAGAATGAGAAGATGCCACTTGTCAGGGTAGAATTGCACTTCAAACTAATAAGAACCCAAAGTGAGGGTTCCTTCCCCCAGGAGTTATAAGGAAATCACCAAGGGATTAATGAAGTTTCCTCAGTGCGTTTTTGATAACATACCAATAATATTCCTCAGTATGATGAGCGGCACCAGCAATGGTTGAGATTAACAGGCCAGATAACATAGCTCCTGCCTTCAATCTTGACCTCTGTTGTCCAACAATGCAAGGTCTTTTGCAGTAGATTGTTTACTCTCCTTAATCTTATCTCCAGTTTGACAGTCTCAGGAACTTCAGACAACTTCATTAGAAATCTTAACCCCTGCAACACTGAGAATGTGTACACCCACGTGCATACCAGATTTTGCTGCCACTTATTTGTCCCATGCTGCTGGTTCCACGATAGATCTTCTTTCAGTCTGTTTGCAGTGTTGTAGCTGTGTTGGTCCCAGGATATAAGCAAGACAAGGTGGGTGAGGTAATATCTTTTATTAGACCAACTTCTTTTGGTGGAATGTACAACCTTTCAAGCTACACAGAGCTCTTCTTTGGGTCTGGGGAAGGAAGCAGAGTGTTGTCAGTTTGACCTTCTAGGATGGTTTTCTTTACCACTGAAGAACAGGTCAAGAATTGTTAGTAGAGGGAAGGCAGGTGAGAATGGGAGCACAGGCTTATACCTAAAGTTGATCTATGTATATTTTCATCTCTTTTGTTTATTCAAGAGAAAGTATGTAACTTGACTATTGCGCAAGATGCAACTTCTCTCTTCTTCGCTGGAGCACTAGTTATACAGGGGAGGTAGGGGGCTCCCTTTTTTAGAGGTTTTTAGGGTCAGGAAGATTCAAATGTCTTAATTCAGTGTACTTGAAAAGTGAAGTTAAATGACAATGTGTGTAACAATTAAAATACTGATTTATATCTTTAAAATACCTCTAATCCAGGTCATTATAGTGGGTCATATTACCTGTGAAAAATCAAAATTTCATGGGCTAGAGCTTGTTTTGAAAGTATTTGCAAATACAATATACAAATATATTCATTTGAGGGGGTAGAAAGTATGTTGATGATGCCACAATCTTAGGCCCTGATCATTAAAGGACTTGCGCTTGTACTTAATGTTACGCACTATAAGTGTCTCATTGACTTCAGTGGGACTATGTGCTGTATATAAAATTAAGCATGTGTATAAATCTTTGCAGGCTTCATGCCTGGTGATACATGTTTCCCTATCTAAGCAGGATCATATCTGTGATGTGATGTTTTAGGAACTGCCCCAGACTGGTAAGGGGTCCTGTCACTGCCTGCCCTGTAACCTTGGGGGCTTTTGTGCTGTGTGGCTGTGGTTCAATTCCCTGACATCAGTAGCCAGCCCACAAAATGTCTCTCACCAGCCTAATTACTCCTTGCAAGGTGATGCCAACAGCCTTCCAGTCCCAGGTCCCCCCAAATACATCCTCCCCAAGTTCTTAATTACCAGACACCCAGAATGTTCCCCCTCTGGTTGGTCACAGCCCCCAAGGTGTAAAACCACCTTCCAGATACCAGCTTACTTTGGCACACTCCACACAGTTTGCGCATCTGAGATCCGCTTGGGGTAAAAAAAAAACAACAAAAAATGTTTATTTAATAGAAAAACCACAGATTCAAAGATAAAATAGTGAGGGAAAGCACACAGGTTACACAGAAAAATATAAAAATGCAATCTTAACTTTTACACTTTAATAAAATCCCTTTTCTAATGTAAGTTACCTATTGCCTTGAGTTAGTTTCTCAGCATACTACAGGAGGGATCCAGCATTCATGAACAGTCATTTGCCATACGACTGTCCCTCATGGTCTAGATAAAAAAACTTCAGGGCAAGTCTACACTACAAAATTAAGGCAACTTAAGTTATATGGACATATGGCCACCGCAGTAATTAAATCTTTTTTGTACATTCACACTAGCTCCTTCTGTTGGCCATGCACATCTTCATGAGGAGCACTTGCACTGGCTGTCAGCGTGGGGTATTGTGGGGCACAGATAGCCAGAGCCCCCGGTGTGGGGCTCCACTGACACTGCGTTGACCTAACTACATTTACCTAAGTGCTATGCCTCTGGACCTAACTGTAGTGTAGACCAAGCTCAGCCCCGAACCTGTTTTTGAAAGACTTTTTCCTTTTTTTTTCTTTTCTTTCAGTCGATGGAGACTTACGTTTATGTGGAGTGGGGAAATTCCCTTTTGACTTGATAGCCTGGATGTCTCAATGTCTTCCTATTAACTCTAATGGTCCATCATTGTCTTCCCCGGCTGGACAATGGATCGTTACTTGAAGCAAGTTTTGTGTAAATCCCTGTCTTGGGAGGTGCCTCTCCCCACTTGACTACTCACCCCCCTGCTGTGAGGTGTAGTGGATTTTTGAGTATAAATTCAGAGTACAATTTTCTATATACGCCTATACATGGATTCATAACCTGAGTCTGTATACATATCTCATAATGACTAATCAAATTCAGAACATTACATGCTTTCATAGAAGACCTTACTTGGTATAACAATAATATAGTATGCTAGGCAATCAGTTGGTTTAACTGCTCATTTTTGGGGTTTAAACATATTTTCCCTTTGGGGTGTCTGGAGTTGATTGTTACACACACACACACACACACACACACACACACACACACACACACACA